TGACAGTCATTCCATCCCATGTGATATTAACAGTATATCTTATTGTGTTAGTACTACTAACTAACACAGTACCAGGACAATCATTAAGTTGATCATCACAATTAGTGTAACTAGCCAGTGTAGTACTACCAATGCTCATACTAATACTATACAGAGAGTGTCCAATTTTAGTACAACCCAGTTCGTATTCCTGAGGATATACTGTCATATCAGAAGGAAGACTAGCAACAGTAAATGATTCTATCTCTGCATATCCTATATATATGAAAAATTATCATTAATTACATCTGTACAATAATTAGCATATTCTTACTGAATATATTAGCAAAGATAATGTTAGTGTTAGAATTAGAGCAATCAGTGGGTAGACAACACTTGTACCAGCCTTCTGTAGTTGCTGATATTAACTGAGCAAGATAAAGATTGAGAGTAGCATCAGGTAAAGTGACAGAAGTACAACGAAAAGGATCACTGGCATTATTACTGTTACAGTCAACAGGATCATCAGGATCAGCAACTCTAACCCACTGACCAGTAGTTAGACTAGCACCAGGTAACACACATGACATAGCCTCAGTAACTGCATTGACAGTATTATCCCAAAAATAAGATCCATTTTGATGACAGTTTCCATTATGTTTTAAATAAATGCCTATAAAATCAATCAACATTAGTAGATCCATATAAATTTCAAATACCTCCTTGCTGACAATGAGTGAAAACACTGATAGTACTAGCAGGTCCTAGTAATTGTTGATAGGCTCTGACTGTGATGTTATAAGTTGTTAGTTCTCTCAATCCATTCAGTATGATTGTATTATTACTACTTCCCTCCACCTGTACTGTCTGCACAGTGTCTGTGTCACTTGTGACATTGACTACATATCCATCAGCATTAGATGAATCAAGTGCAGTCCAACTGACAGTGATAGTGGTAGCTGTCTTGTTGACTTCAGTAAGAGAAGAGGGAGCAATTGCTGGTGCTAAAAATATACAGTATTATAAAACTAAATCATACTTTGTTACCTTTTATAGTCATATTACGTATTCTAGTTGGTTGATTAGTAACTGCCACTACACACTGATACATTTGATCTCCAGTGGTTGACTGACTGACTGATCCACTACTGACAGTCATTCCATCCCATGTAATACTAACAGTGTATCTTATTTTATAGATACTACTATCTATCACAGTACCGGGACAAGTATCACTATCATCAATACATCCGGTGTAACTAGCCAACGCAGTATTATCAATACCTATCCTGATATCGTAGGAGAATTCGAATCCAATTTTAGTACAATCCAGTTTGTATTCCTGAGGATATACTGTCATATCAAAAGGAAGATCAGCAACAGCAAATGAATCTATCTGTGCAAACCCTACAAATAAAAAAATTAATGTCGATTCAGTATATCAATAATTATAGTCTACTCTTACTGAATATATTAGCAAAGATGATGTTAGTGTTAGGATCTGAACAGTTAGTAGGTAGACAACACTTGTACCAGCCATCACCAGGTGCCCCAAGATAGTTTGGTGGATTTATGAAAACACTGAGGTTAGCACTGGGCCCAGTGCCAGTGGTACATTGAGCATTTGAATTGCTACCACCGTCACAAGGAACTGCTCCATTAGGACCAATCCATTGTCCATCATTTAGAGTAGCATCAGGTAATACACACTCTAGAGGAGTTGATCTGATAATAGTATCTGCAATAAATGATCGATTAGGATAACAGTTACCATTTTGTAACCTCAGGTAGATACCTATAAAAAACCTATACAGTTGTTATTATACACATCAAGTGTCTTACCTGAGGAAGGTGGACATTGACTAATAACTTCACTGACACTCAATAAGAAGGCAACCACTTGTAGCTTGAACATGCTGATTAAATTTAATAATAAACAAAATGTGGGTGTGGTATGCATTAAAGTTATTGTGCACTAATCCACTATAATAATATAGTAGATTTTTTTGTCACTAATATAATATTAGAAGAACATAAAACATGTACATTGTAAATGATAAATTCCTTTTGTATATTTTCACTCTCACTGATCATCTGTTTTCTCTCTTTCTCTCGATTATTAATAATTTATAATAGTAATAGTCTAATAATGTCTCCTTAAAAACAAACACACAAAACACTGTTAAAAACTAGCTATATTTTCATTGTTTCTATTGCGTCTTTGATCAATCATTTAGTTCTTTAGTTTTCCAGTCCAAAAAAGCAGCTGAAACCAGCTAGAAAAAGAGGATTAAAATTTTTATAAAGGAGATAGAAAAAAAGGTAAGGAGACTATTATTTTAGCTCAGTTTCATCAACAATTGATTAATGTACATTGTAAGTAAGTGAAAAGTAGAATTTAATTGACAGAATAAAAGGCAACATAAAAATACATCAAAAGGACATTGAAAGTTGTTCCAGTAACACTGTAACACTGTTGTGAATACAACTGGTGAAATCATAAAATAGTGTACACTGTGGGTGCATTATCAAACCTATAGGGTACATGTACTATAATCATATCAAGGAAGCATAGTGTTTAGTTGACCCTGTGACCTGTCATGGTTTAATTACTCTAACCACAATGTGTTGGGCTTATATCTTCATGTACATAAAAAGGGGCAGCTTTATTTCAATTTGAAAGGTGAGTGAGGTTAGTCTTTTAGTGACTTCGATTTTGAAGCCTAATAGAAAAAATGACAAGAAAATAAAACGCATTACTTTAAAGAAAATTAACAAAACATTAATATTATGCATTTTATTAAGCTATTATAGTTAAGTGCCGACTGATCTCATCTATATTGCTTACTGTAGGATGCCTTTTTTCGAGGGCTGCAAATTTTGTGAACTTGCCTAAAAATCTATTTTGTAGATTAATTTTTGCAAATTTATGCTGTCTGCCATCTTGTACTGTAATAATTTCATTTTCAAAAATTTTCAAAAAATTGAAAAATCAGCAAAATTTAAAGCCCTCGAAAAAAGGCACCCTATGGTATTTGACTGAGCAGTCACAATTAGAATTACACTCGTGCAATAAATCACTCCCAAGGGTTGAGTCTCACTCCACATATGTCTTGCCTAGTGGTGGCCATTAGCTGGTCTACTGGAGGCAGCTTGACAGGAAGTAGCTTCACAGTCTCTCCATTAATTGAGAAATGAAGACATCAGCAATCGCATTGTAATCACTAGTGAAAGCAAAGATCTTACAATACACAATTCTTACAATTACTATATGGCTGTTTTTTCAAGGATAACAAATTCTATGAAAATTTTTAAAATCAATAATTTTTTTACTTAGGCGTTTCTCAGACCTACTATTCCTTAATGTATATGAAATGCTGGGTGTACAATTTTCTGATACATGTATGTTAAGTTGTTTCTGACAAAATTTTAAAGAACAGCCAATTTTTGATAAATACCCTCCGTGCTTTTTTCAAAAAATGGCTCCAAAATACCCCAAATTTTTATTAATTTTCCTGATGCATTTTGATGCCCTTATGCTCTGTAACTTAAATTTTTCAAGTTATGGCTATTTAAAAAATTGGCCAAATTTTGAAAAATTTCCAAAGCTATATGTAGCCCATGCTTTTTTCTAAAAAATGGCTCCAAAATTAACCCAAATTTTTATTACATTTTCTGATAAATATTAATGTCCTTATGCTGTGTAGAAAGTTTGAGGTGATTCTGACTTAATTTTTTACAAGTTATGGCCATTTTAAAGAAATCGGCCAATTTCCCTAACCCAACTTTCCTCAAAATGACTAAGAGAGAATTTACAACTTTCATGTTTTTTCTGATACAAAAACACGTTCCTACATAGCATAGAAAGTTTGAGCTAGTTCCGATCAAAATTTATAAAGTTATTCCAAATTTAGCATCTTTGTGGAAATAGAATTTTTAATTTTAACCCCATGCAGTCTGTCTAGCATAGCACTACTAAAATTAATGGGTACATATACTAGACTAGTCACAATATATTATACTTACATTGTGCAATGGCGAGAACAGTCACACTAAAGTAAATAGTCTTCTACTTCTAGCAGCAACACAGATTATTGCATATCTTTGCAGTACGAGCCCCACCCACCTTTGGTTTGTAGGTGTGGTGCATCGAAATGGGCGTGCTCTCATATGGTGCTCTATAGAATAATAAAAATGGCGGATGATTTTGATGAACTGTTGAATGAAGTAGAGACGAGCTATTGTCCAGTGAAGGAGCCTCAGAAAAGGTAGCCATCTAGTTATAAAGCACAACCATTTGATCCTTTTACCAGACTTCTCCCATCAGATAAATACAGTAGGGACATTGATACTGAGATTGATGAACTCTTAGATATTGATGAGGGAGAGGTGGAGGGAGGAGGTGAGAGGGCAGAGACTAAAGATGACTCTGTTTTTAAAATAAAAACTAAACAAGCAACTAACGGAAGAAAGTAAACACAATAACAACTCACGCAATACAATACATTTTCCACAACGCATACTAAGTGCTAATATAAATTTGTACATACTTCATGAGCTGGCAAGCACTACAATACAGTACAATGGTTGAGTCGTAAATGGCATTTCGGAAACTTTAAAAATTTATAAAAAATATAGTTTTGATTGGAATCAGCTCAAAGTTGATACACAACATTAGAGCATGTATACACGTATGTATCAGAACAAATTACAAAAATGGAAAATTCTTTCCTATCCATTTTTGATGAAGTTTGGCCAAAGATCAAACACTATAGCCTTTGGTCATTGGCATGATTTTTGAGCAACTTTTAAAAAAATTGTGAAAATATCCAAATTTGATCAGAAGCAGCTCATACTTTCTGCACAACATAAGTACATGTATATGTATCAGAAAAAATTATAGGAATTGAGAATGCTCGCCTTTTCATTTTTGGCGAAAATTGGCCAAAAACCCTATACAGGAACTTTGGCCTGATTTTCAATAACTTTAAAAATTTATCGAAAATCCAAATTTACTTGGAATTAGTTCAAAGTCGATACAAAGCATAAGGACATGTACATGTATCAGAAAAAAATGATAAAATTCAGAATTCTCTCCTTGTGATTTTTGTTGAGCAACTTGACAATCTACTCACAAGATGCTACATGAGCACTTCACCAAATTCTCTTTTTGTTTATTATTATTATTGTTTGTTGTTATTTACTGTTTAGATGCCATCCAGTGTTAATTGGTGGGTCTGGTATTGAATTAAAATATAACGACAATAAAAACCAGTAAGTACATGTATATTATTATTAATAGCATTTTATTATTATTATTGTTATTATTATTATTATTATTATTATTATTATTATTATTAGTGGTTGTGACCAGTTACGTTGTCTCTCATGTGATTCAAGTGTTTTATCGTTTAATAATTACTCCTGGATTGATGATGTGGAATATTTATTTTTTAGAAATAATTATCCGAATAATAAAAAATTAAAAACCAAATTAGTCTACAGTGAAGGTAAGTTACATGTATATCATTATGTAACGTTTGTATTTATTTTATAATGTTAATACTGTATTGTTACTATAGCCAGAAACTTTTTAGGGCAAAAAGTTTTGTTGCAAAAATGAATTTTCATGAATTTATCTCAAATGATTGTCAGAATTAAAAATTTTTCTAATAGTTAGAATCAAACCACATGATCTACTTTAATTGAGCCTAATCAGTTATGCCAGTTAAAATCTTTCAATTTGAGAGCTAATTCTTGAAATTTGTGTATGTTTTTTATCCTTTGAAAAGTTTTTTTGTTATACGGTGATTCATCATACAGTGGATAGATTTAGTTGGGAACATTTTCTTCTTGAAAGGATTATAGAATTTCGTTTTGTTTATTTTTGTTCTGAGCTGCTGTTTTGTACATGTGTCATTGAGGAATGCTTTTTTTGTTTTTTGTTTGGACAATATTTGTTTCACAAGGAATGAAATTCCCACTATACAGCATTTATAGTATTCCTTCTATTTCTCTCTTTATTAGGTTACAGATCTTATGCCTGTCAGTGTTCATGGATTCATGTTAATAAATTAGTTAATATTAATAATATGAAATCATTGAAATGGACCTGTGGGAGACATTAATATTAATATCAGTATAATGAAATTAATAATAATCATTATTATTTTTTCCATTAGGTACTGCTGTTATTATCACTTATTAATGACATTTTTAATATTAACTATTATATCACTTTTAAAATGTATTGAAATATTTTATGCAAACCCCCTAATATCAAAAACACTAAAAGTGACACACACTATTGAATGTGGACAGTAGATAGAAAGGACATAACTCTAGATAAATTTCATCAGTTATTATTAGTACTGTTGTGTGACCTCGCTGCCATCAGCAATCTGCTCCTTACCACTGCCCTTTCTTTTAATTTTATTCATGAGTGTGTTTATTTATGCATAGATGCCCTTATATGGTGTGATCCACCCATCCTTGATGTTCAGTTTGAAGCATCAGCGGTCTTTAGCTTTATTTGTGGTTTTTTTATATTTGTGCTAGATATTGAAGAGAGAAGACTTATTGGTAAGTTATAGTCTACTCCTATGCGCTAAATTGATTTAGAGTCTACAGTTTTGATAGACCATTTTAGCTGCAAGTACCGTGGCAACTTAGTCTAGTGGCAACTATGATTGATATCTCTCAATGGAGAGCAAGTATTGGACTTTGGAATTACTCTCAAGCTGCTTTTAGAGGAAGTATTGTATTTAAGAAATATTATAGACCTGTATCAAGTGGACCTGCTAATGAATGCCACCATCAATTGATTAAAGCGGCTGCTGCTGATAACAGCAAGTCAAATGATACTAGGTCTAGTGCATTGACAGTAGCACTCAGTCTGTTTATTATTGCTTCCATTGACATTTATTTTTGTTTTCTTATATTGATGCACAATTCAATTCTTCCACCAGGTAAATCAAAATGTATACCATATATAGATGTATTTCATGTGTACATGTACACTATATTATAATTAGGTCATTGTTATGGTCATCAACAATGTACTATCGGTGATAATGTTACTGATGCCCTCATGTCAGTATTACCTGGAGATACTATCAACCACATATTTTCAATAATTTCCCATCTCCTCCTCTTTTTATCAGGAGATGTTGAACTTAACCCTGGACCTGATCCTACAGAAGGTTAGTAATCTCAGTATTTTGAAACAATTGATAGATACCTCCTTTTTCATTAAAGCTTATAAAAAGATAAAAGATATCCTTCGTTCACAGTATGCTACATTAGAAGAAGTAACCAGAGGCAGTCTCAGTAGCATATCATCACTCTTATATGCTAAAAAAATTATCACAGAAGAAGTGAAAGATTCAAAAAGCTACAGTAAAATAATACAGCAGTTTAAAGCAACACTTTTAGTTTTTAATGATGTATCAGAATTAAAGCAACACTGTCAGTTGTTTCTTGAGTGCATAGCTCAAGGTGGACCAACTGACGCTGTTGTTAAATCACTAGCAATTCAATGGGGAGAAGTATTTGATATGGAACCATTATTACCAATGTCGTCATCACCTTCACCAGTTTCTAATATTGCAGCATTGAAAGGTATTAATAATTATGATTATATTGTTTAACATTTAAAATGTATGCATACAGAATTTTGTAAGCATAATTATTCAAAATGTATGTTATAAAGCACTATATTAATTGTAAACAGTTATCAAAGTTGTGTCTCACTAATGTATTTTAAGTAAAAATCATACTCATATTTATAGGTAATACTTTTTTTGATCTAAATGATCCTTTCAATTCTGAAAAAAACGAAAAAGAAGTATATAAGTTATTAGATGACTTACATCAAAGGTTTTCAGATTTAGTTACAACTTTTGAAATGCAATTTGAAGAAAAATCTAATCACAACAGTCAACTAGCTACCCATGTATCAAAGTGGCTTATAGCACATATGGCATGGGAGCGTGGCTCAGTAGATAACAGTCTTGATGATATTTTCAATAAAATTAATCCTTATTATGACTTTATTGATTGTAAACTGCTACTGGACATGAGTAAAAAGTTCCTACCAGACGAAACATTTATTGATGGTGGAGTAACTTATAAAATAGTTGATGAATTATACAGTCATTTGCTAAAAAGTGAGAAGCTTCGTACATCAAGTCCAGTTTCTGTCTTTAGAGAGATTCTTTTTAACAAGTTTTATACTATTGACAGAAATTTAGATAATCTACCCTATATTCATATGAAACTGCAAACTTGCTGGGATGACATAAGCATTAAAGGATTATACAAACTTATTGAAAAGCTGCTGCCTCAAGAATTCAGACAATCAATTTTGAAACATATTACAATATTTAGTGGATCAGTTGTTATCAAGTTACATATTCTTGACTTTAAAGTCTGTAGTCTAATAATATTTCCTAGGGAAAACTCAATACAGTTTATGCGTCTCATCGGTATATTTAGTTTGTATATTAATGACTATCCTGTCCTTCAAGAAGATGAGAATACGAACTTTACCTTTGAACTAGCTCTCCTTGAGGCAGTCTCAGCTGGTAATAATGAAGCAGTGGAGTTTCTTCTTCAACTACAAACTGTTAATATTGATTGTACTAATAAAGAAGGTAAGACAGTTCTTAAACCTCTTAATATTGATTATGCTAATGAAGAAGGCAAGACAGCACTAATGTTAGCTTGTGAAAGGGGACATGGGGACATTGTACACCGCTTACTGTCTGCTGAAACTAATGTTAACATTCAAGACAATGAAGGATGGACTGCACTAATGATAGCAAGTAAACATAATCACATTTCAATCATTCACATGTTACTACAAGCTAATGCTGATCCTAACATGGCCAACTTAAATGGATCAAATGCTTTAATAATTGCCAGTAGTCTTGGTAACAGTGAAGTTGTTGAGCTATTGATTAGTAAAAAAGTTGATTATAGATATCAACGAAAAGATGGATTAAATGCATTTATGATGGCTTGTTATACCAGTCAAATTCAAATAGTTGAATTGTTGCTTAACAAACAAGTTGATCCTAATGTTCAAATGGCAAATGGATTTAATGCTTTAATGTTGGCTTGTCAAAATGGTCATACTCAAATTGTTAAACTTTTACTGAATAAACAAGTTAATCCTAACGTTCAAGCACCTGAAGGAAATGCATTTATATTGGCTTGTCAAAATGGTCATACTCAAATTGTTGAATTGTTGCTGAATAAACAAGTTGATCCTAATGTTCAAATCAAGAATGGTTGGAATGCTTTCATAATGGCTTGTCAGAATGGCCATACTCAAATAGTGAAAATGTTACTAAAGAAACAAGTTAATCCTAATGTTCAAGCAGATAATGGAATAAATGCACTTATGTTGGCTTGCCAAAACGGTCACATTCAAATAGTTGAACTGTTGCTGAAGGAACAAGTTGACCCTAATGTTCAAGAGAAAAACGGTTCAAATGCTTTTATGTTGGCTTGTAAAAATGGCCACACTGAAATAGTTAAACTTTTGTTTAAAAAAATAGTGGATCCTAATGTGTTAAACAATAATGGTGGAAATGCTTTAATATTGGCTTGTCAAAATGGACACACTCAGTTAGTTGAACTGTTACTGAAGGAGAAAGTTGATCCTTCAGTTCAAAACAATAAAGGTGGAAATGCTTTAATGGTGGCTTGTGAAAGTGGTCACACTCAAATAGTTGAACTTTTGCTGAAGGAACAAGTTGATCCTAATGTTCAAGATAATAATGGAGGGAATGCTTTTATGTTGGCTTGTCAAAATGGCCACTCTGCAATAGTTGAATTGTTGCTTAAAAAGCAAGTTGATCCTAATGTTCAAATGAAAAATAAATGGAATGCTTTTATGCTGGCTTGCCAAAATGGTCACACTAAAATAGTGGAACTGTTGCTGAAAGAACAAGTTGATTCTAATGTTCAAGACTATTCTGGAGTAAATGCTTTTATGTTGGCTTGTCAAAATGGAAATGCTTACTTGGTTGAACTTTTGCTGAAGAAGCAAGTTGATCCTTTAGTTCAAAGCAATAGTGGTAGTAATGCTTTTATAGTGGCTTGTGAAAATGGTCATACTCAAATAGTTGAACTTTTGCTGAAGGAAAAAGTTGATCCTCATGTTCAAGATAATAATGGAGGGAATGCTTTTATGTTAGCTTGTCAAAATGGCCACTTTCCAGTGGTTGAATTGTTGCTTAAGAAACAAGTTGATCCAAGTGTTTTAGATATTAACGGTGGAAATGCTTTCATATTTGCTTGTGCAAATGGACACACTCAAATAGTTGAACTGTTGCTGAAGGAACAAATTGATCCTGATGTTCAAATGAAAAATGGATGGAATGCTTTTATGTTTGCTTGTCAAGGTGGTCACTCTCAAATAGTTGAACTGTTGGTGAAGGAACAAATTGATCCTAATGTTTTAAACCATAACGGTGAAAATGCTTTTATATTGGCTTGTAAAAATGGTAACACTCATATAGTCGAACTGTTGCTAAAGGAACAAGTTGATCTTAATGTTCATAATAATGATGGTTTAAATGCTTTTATGTTGGCTTGTCAAAATGGGCAAACTCAAACAGTTGAATTGCTGTTGAAACAAAAAATTAAATTTAATGTTACAAATAATGATGGAGTAAATGCTTTTATGCTGGCATGTCAAAATGGTCATGCTAGAATAGTTGAATTGCTGCTGAGGGAAAAAATTGATCCAAACATTCAAAGGAAAGATGGAGTGAATGCTTTTATGTTGGCTTGTGCAAAAGGTGACACTGAAATAGTTGAGTTGCTGATAGGAAAAGTTAATCTCAATGTTAGAAATAATAATGGAGTAAATGCTTTTATGTTGGCTTGTCAAAATGGCCACACTCAAATAGTTGAATTGCTGCTGAAGGAAGAAGTTGATCTTAATGTTCAAAATAATGATGGTTTGAATGCATTCTTTTTGGCTTGTTACCATGGCCAAACTCGAATAGTCGAATTGCTGCTAAAACAAAAAATTGATCTTCATGTTACAAATAATGATGGAGTTAATGCTTTTATGGTGGCATGTCAAAATGGTCACATTAAAATAGTTGAATTGCTGCTGAAAGAAAATATCAATCCTAGTATACGAAGAAAAGATGGAGGGAATGCTTTTATTTTGGCTTGTGGAAAAGGTCACACTCAAGTAGTTGAAATTTTGCTGAAAAAACAAGTCAATCCTAATGTTCAAACAATTAATGGAGCAAATGCTTTTATGCTGGCTTGTTCAAGTGGTCACATTAAAATAGTTGAGTTGTTGATAGGAAAAGTTAATCTTAATGTTAGAAATAATGATGGAGTGAATGCTTTTATGTTGGCTTGTCAAAATGGCCACACTGAAATTGTTCAACTTTTGCTGAAGGAACGAATTGATCCTAATGTTCAAATTAATAATGGCACGAATGCTTTTATTTTGGCTTGTCAAAATGGCCACACTCAAATAGTCAAATTGTTGCTAAAGGAAAAAATTGATCATAAGGTTACAAATAATGATGGAGTGAATGCTTTTATGGCAGCCTGTGAAAAAGGCCACACTAAAATAGTTGAACTGCTGTTGATAGATAAAGTTGATCCTAATGGGAAAAATAAAGATGGAGTGAATGCTTTAATGGTGGCTTGTCAAAATGGCCACACTGAAATAGTTAAAATGCTACTGAAGGAAAAAGTTGATCTTAATGTTCAAAGTAAAGATGGTTTTAATGCTTTCATGTTGGCTTGTCAAAATGGTCACACTGAAATAGTTAAGATGTTACTGAAGGAAGAAGTTGATCCTAATTTGAAAAATAAAAATGGAGGGAATGCTTTCATGTTGGCTTGTCACAAGGGTCACACTCAAATAGTTGAATTGTTGCTGAAGGAACAACAAAAAGATAGAGTAAATGCTTTTATGCTAGCTTGTCACAATGGTCAGAAACATATAGTTGAGCTTTTGCTGAAGGAACGATTTGATCCTAATGTCCAAGCCGAAAATGGCTGGAATGCTTTTATGGTGGCTTGTCAAAATGGCCACACACAAATAGTTGAACTACTGCTGAAGGAACAAGTTGATCCTCAAGTTCAAAATATAGATGGAGTAAATGCTTTTATGTTGGCTTGTCAAAATGGTCACACTCAAATAGTTGAACTGTTGCTAAAGGAACAAGTTGATCCTCAAGTCCAAAGGAATGATGGAGTAAATGCTTTTATGTTGGCTTGTCAAGATGGTCACACTCAAATAGTTGAACTACTGCTGAAAGAACAAGTTGATCCTCAAGCCCAAAGAAATGATGGAGTAAATGCTTTTATGGTGGCTTGTCAAAATGGTGACACTCAAATAGTTAAACTGTTGCTGAAGGAAAAAGTTGATCCTAATGTTCAAGATAAGGATGGTTATACTTCTCTAATGCTCTGTGTCACAAAAGCTTATAATTTAGAAATAGTTAAGCTATTGTTCAAAGCTGGTGCTGATCCTAATCATAGGTGCACTATGACAGGTAAAACTGCTTTATCAATTGCTGTGTCATCGGCACATTGTGAAATAGTTGATGAACTATTAAAAGCTGGTGCCAATACTAATATTAGCCTTATTAATCCTAGCAATAATGCAACTATCAACTGCACAATAACTCAGTATTGTATATTGGTACTTCTAATAAAAAGCATTCCTGATGTCAAAATGAATCAAAACTTAGCACCAACAAAAGAAGATGAAGCAGAAAACATAAAAACACTCAAGCTTTTACTAGAAGCTACACCACAACCTGAAGATGATCCTTATAGCTTACTAGCAGCAACTGCAGTAGGTTGTACATCAGCAGTTGATTTATTGCTAAAAGCTGGGTATAATCAATTAGCTCTTAACTCCTCAAGCAAGCTTTACCATTTACTTGATAGTACTAGATCTACTGTTGACTGTAATGCATTGACACTTGCGTGCCATAAAGGATACATTGAAATAGTTAAACTAATGCTACTCCAAGGATCTAGTAATATTAATGCTACACAAGACAATATCCATACACCTCTAATGGCAGTATGTACTGCCAAAAATGATAACATAGAAGTAGTTAAATTGCTATTAGAAGCTGGTGCTGATCCTAACGTTAAATTTATAGCACAGGACAAATCATTTTGTAATGACACAGCGCTGATAATGGCTACAGATTGCAATAACAAGAGACAAGTTCAGTTATTGCTAGAAAGGGGAGCAGATCCAAATATACAATCAGAATCAGGCAGGCCAATTTTAAATGGAAAGACTGCATTAATGGTTGCCAGTTTTAAAGGCCATTTAGAAATAGTTCGATTATTATTAAAAGTTGGTGCTGATCCTAATATTAAATGTGAAAATGGAGGTACAGCCTTAACGCTTGCAGTGTGTTCAGGACATAAAATAATTGTAAATGAATTACTGAAAGCTGGCGCTAATGCAACTACTGGTGTTATTGACACTGCAGAATTTGGAAATCAAGTTGAAACATCGATAATTCAATTGTGCATAAGTCATTTACTAAAGGAAAGTGATTTTAGGAAATATATAGAATCACAGCCAACTTTGGTAGACAGATACAAAATAGAAAATGTTGAGCAATTTCTTGAAAAAGCAGTTTCAAAAACTAGGGTTGATGATGTAATTGAAATACTTCGCTTGCTACTAGAGGCTACACCACAGCCTATGGATGATCCTGTTAGTCTTATATTTGCATCTACTATTGGTAATGTACAAGTAGTAGATATGTTGCTTAAAGCTGGTTGTAATCCTTTATCAAGCAAATACTTTGAAGCTGCTTTACTGGTGTCACCGTGGCAAACATCACAATTTGAAATGATAAGGACTGTCTCTTGTCCATCATTAATTTTTGCTTGCATTAATGGGCATTTAGAGGTAGTTAAATTACTGTTAAAAGAGATTCGTAATTTTAACCATCAACAAGAAACTGGAGAAACTATCTTAATGATAGCATGTGAATGCGGTCACAAGGACATTATACTAACATTGCTGGAGAATGGGGCAGATCCTAATATTTGTGATAATGATGGCAACAATGCATTACACTATGCATTACTTACTAGCAGCAGTGAGGATAATACAATAGACATCATACAAACATTGCTGTCATGGCATGTAAATGTTAATGCCCAGAATAAGAAAAAAGTTACGCCACTAATGATTGCCAGTGATAAAGGATACACTGAAGTTTTATTATTGTTATTAGAGGAAGCTGATCCTAATATCACTGACAGTAAAGGTGACACTGCATTGATACGTGCTAGTGCAAATGGGAAGACTGAAGCAGTTGCACTTTTACTAATGACATATAATGCCAACCCATCAGTTATTAATTATTATGGTGTGACTGCCCTCTGTCATGCTGCAAATAATGGGCACATTGAAGTAATTACTGTCCTTTTAAGTATTTATAATCCTAATCAAGCAGAAATTGAGAAGGCAGTAACTGCAGCTTGTTATGGAGGGCATAAAAAATTGATCAAGTTGTTAGTAGATAAAAGTAATCTAACAAAATATCAACAAGACATATTTACTGCTTGCATGTCTGACAATGTGGAATATATAATCAATCAAATATCAAGTGACCTCAGTAGGCCATTGATAAAATCCACCAATTTAACTCCTCTCATGATAGCTTCTTCCTGTGGCAGTGACGAAGTAGTACAAACATTACTACTATTTGATTCTGATGTTAACAAACAAGATAACTATTTGAAACTCTCTCCTCTTTCATATGCAATATCAGGTAGCAAGTCAATTTCAGTTGTTCGGTACCTACTAAATAATAATGCTGATGTCAATGTTATTAGTAAAGTGCAGATGACACCATTAGATATTGCTAGAGTCAATAAGCTAAATGATATAGCTCAACTATTGGAAAATAATGGTGGGAAGACATTTTCTTCACTCATGAAAATCAAAGTTGAAGAAATAAAAGAACAATTAAGAACAAAGCAAAAGGTTGAACATCTACAAGCAGAATTGTTTAGACAAAATTTAACTTATCATATGCAGGCAGATTCTGCTGTTGCTAGTAAAATGGAATATTTCCAGGAACCATCATTTACCAGTATACCAATCCCACCTACTGACAGTAAAAAGGTATCCTTCCATGGGCCATCAATTAGTTTGCAAATCCCCATACTTGCACATTAACTATACACCATGCACATACACATCTTACCTACCCCATCTCACTTTTTCTCCCTAACATCACTCTCCCCTTCCTCTCCCTTTCCATGAACATTGCTACATGTAGTCTATAAGAGCTGATATTTTGCTGACATAATAAAAAAGTAACAATATTTAGTCATAGTTTTTAAATAACATTATTATTTTTAGTTGCTGTTTTTGTTTATCATAAAATTTTAATAAATCCACAAACTGAACCACAAATTTGCAACATGCAGTTGCCCCTCACATTTTAATTTCAATTACCACACAAAGAGTTTTAATAAGCATCTATTCCTACATCACATCAGGATAAAAATCAGGAGCCTCTATTACAATGTATGCAAAGTGTAATAAAGATCTACAGTAAAATTGATGCATAGAAATCCAAACCAACCTACACTAATTCACTATAATATTATATACAAAATATGCCCACACACTCACAACTGATTAGCATACGGACATGTACATCAGTACGTGTAAGATTGGTGTGATACTTGTAATCCTGATAGTATTATACTAAAAAATTGAGGACATAGATCTGGATGCATTTATATGGTACAGAGATACAAGCAAGGCTGAGCTAATTGAGACCAACTAAGAACAATGATGAAAAAGAAAGTAACTTTTAGCAAAGAGAGACTATAATTTGTTATTTGTAGTTCAGAATGAATGGAGTGATGTTTCAAACAGCTCTAGATAGAGCTAATTGACTTTAGTTTTGACTTTGGCTGTACTAAAATAATTTTTATGCATGAATTCCTCAGCAAATTAAAAATTAGTGTCAACATGGAGCAACAATATACGAGTATAAATAAATAAACAAGCAAATATTAATCTCTATCACTGGCATATAAATGTATCACTCCAGCCACAAGAGGAGATTTAAATTAAAAGTTTTACCACTTCACAGTATGGCTTGTGGTTACCACACTTGAAGAGCTTAATCACTTAATAAAAATGTGAAAATTGCTAACAAAAGTGAAAATACATTACTATTTACTGTTCTTGTACCACTTCCAGCCTTGCCCTGACATTATGTCCCTAATTGATGATTGGAAGTGTAATTTTGGGAACCGGGAATGGAATTGTATAGCAACCAAGTAGAACACAAATGAGAGAATGAAGAACACGCATATCTCAGTAATGTGAGTCTGCCTATAAATAGAAATAATAATGGCCACAATAAGGATAACACAAGTAACAATAAGAATAATGATAACAATGATAATAATAATAATAATACATACATACATACATAATGATCAATACATAACATATGTACAACAACAATGAATACATAGTAATAATAATAATAACAGAATATTGTAGTTAAGTGTACATGTACATGAATGCATAAATGTCAAAGGACCATTATCACAGGAAGATACACTCCTTTCTTCTTTCTCTTCTACCATCAACCTCTTTTTGATTCTTTATACCTCCAATTTTGATGTAGATCTACTTGTATTGATAATACAATGCCCTCACAAAACTGTAGGAAGACTTTATGATACCAGTAATTTTATTGACACTCTCCCTCACTCTTTCTCCCTCTTTCTTCAATTGGCATACTTTGGTGGCTTGAGCAATAGTGAAGGATCTCCAGGAAATAGTTTAGCACAAAAGTGTACCAGCCATGCATGGATTATGTTTATAACTCTATTAGAAATAAATCATAAAAACTAATAAATAATTTACAATACAAGCTTATAGCTACAGCCAATAAATGACATTACATTATAGTAAATTAATTTTGGTTTATGTATGTAAAAACCAAAATAAATTTATTATATGCATACAGTCACTAAACTAAGAACTGAAGAAAAAAATTATGAAGCATTTAGAAATAAAATGAAATTTAGCTAATTTCAGTACTCTTTGATTACCATTATAAAGCAAATTAAGCTATTTAGTGTTGGTTATAAATTTACAACATTAGGAGTTTAAGCAATAAGGTTAAACGCTGTTAATATCCATGAGCCGGGAGGGTTGGTAATGGGTGGGGCTTAGTTACTATCAGCTATCCGCAAAACACGAGTGCTAATTGCTGGCTGCTGTTCTTACTATTATTTTCTATTATTTTTCCTATTCTCCTAAACTCTTTTTGATGCCTGGAAAGCGTGGTGGACCTAGATCTTCCCCATACTGCCGTTCAGCTCGTGCATCAAGAAGGCCGGGCAGCCACTGCTGCGTCTGTCAGTAGGCCAGTGATGGAATCATTATGATGGAGTCCCGCTGCCTGGACTAGCGATCCTGTCGTTCCTGATCATGTAGTCCTGCTTCCGAAGCTTCATAGTCCAATGTCGATAACAGTAGAGCAGCCCCAATTCCACTCGAACGTGGCGTTTCCTTCTATGTCCTCTCAGCACCTGTACAGGCACAGATTGCCCAGACCGC